TGTATGGTTTAGAGATGTCCCGCCCCTTAAAAGTCCAATGGAGGCGTTTCAGGCAGGGGGGGAGTGTGTGGGAGAGAAACTCTCCCTACCTTGAACTTCAGGATTTTAGCCTTTGCAGACCATTTACATGCACACAAACCTTTATAACACACTACAGGAGAGAGAAAACCCCATAATAGGCCCCCTTTTAAACCTTTGCTGTCTGTCATTTCTGACCATTGTTTGTCTTCTCTCCTTCCTCCAGGGTGACCAATGTATTTTATGAGCAGTACCTGACCATTGTCCCAGAGGGACTGTTCAACATCTCCCTGTGTCTGCTGCCCACCTTCGTGGTGTGCTGTCTGCTGCTCGGTCTGGACCTGTGCTCCGGCCTGCTCAACCTCATCACCATCATCATGATCACCGTGGACACTGTTGGGGTCATGACTCTGTGGAACATCGATTACAACGCCGTCGCCCTTATCAACCTGGTCACGGTAAGACAATTAAAGAGGCGCTGCGCTGATCTTACATATGAAGATAGTTTTACTGGTAATAAGGAGTACTTCTCATCCTGTGAAGACAGTTGTATGAGGTTTTCTGTTTTACTAAAGGGATTTATTTAACACAATATGCTAGGTTAACTGGTTTAGCTGTGAGAACACAGTTGCGAATATCAATATTATTCATTATAAAGGAAGAAAAAACAATATTGTTAAAGTAACCCATAGTTTTAAAAATTCTCCGCCAATTCGGGTAGTTGCATTTTTTTTGGAAAAACATGCAAACGGTGTTCCTAGTTCCAGATTAAGGTGCTAGAAATCCAGATATTTTAGCCTCTGCTGCTCCAATTTCAATCTTTTTTAGATCTTCAGTCATTTGTTAGGTCCCCTTCATTATGCAGGTTGAAAAAATAAATTGCTATAATCTTACTTTAGTATTTTTTACATGTCTTGTAGACAATCTGTGATGTTATATGTCATTGTTAGAAGAGCAAGATGTTTCAAATACATTTATATGCTAATTTCTTACTCTACTTGCCTACTCTCTGTGTTGTTTGCAGGCGGTGGGCATCTCGGTGGAGTTTGTGTCTCATATGACGAGATCCTTTGCACTCAGCACTAAACCAACACGTGTAGAAAGAGCCAAGGAGGCTACAGCCAACATGGGCAGCGCGGTGAGTTAACCATAAGACAAACCAGTGCACAAATTGTTAAATACAAACATTTGATTTTTATAAATATATGTATTTTTGACCCTGTAGGTGTTTGCTGGTGTTGCTATGACCAACCTGCCAGGCATCCTCGTGCTGGCGTTTGCCAAAGCGCAGCTCATCCAGATCTTCTTCTTCCGATTAAACTTAGTCATCACACTTTTGGGGATGGCTCACGGACTCATATTCCTCCCTGTGCTGCTCAGCTACTTTGGTAAGTACTTTATAGGTGCGTGTTTATATATGTAACAAAGAGGTTTGAAAAGCTACATTGCAGTTTATCTCAGTTTATCAATTCTTGAGTGAGAAGTTTTAATCTTTGCAATTAGCATTTACTATGAAAATTGCTCTTGTTCTGGTACGTGTGCAAAACAGTACAATTGTCGACAATTTGCAATATCAATACTTGCATGCGACTAATTTATCATAACTTAGGAGTTGATTCTGAGTGAAATTATCCGATTTTTTTAAATGTCTAAACATTCTTAAATCGTTTGATCAATCACTTGCAAAATACATGTTCAATTAAATGATCAAAATCTGTAAGGAGGTACAAATAAATGTTTTATTAATTTAGCTACTGAAGACCCTAATCTCAAAAGCTCACTGTGATATGAAATAATATATAACTAAAATAAAAATGAAAGATCCCTGGTTGATTAGCATGGTGAAAAAATATCCAAACATTTTGCCGAGTACCGTTAAAACAGGGTGAAAGCAACTTTTCCGTTTGGTGGCTTTTGGCAAATAAACAAAAACAAGGTTTTGAAGCATGAAAAAAAAAATTGATGCAATAAAACTTGTGACAATTGTATTTAAACATTTTCTTTTAAACTGATTAAAAAAATTATGCAAAGAGATTTGGAGAAAATCTGAATATATTTGACTCACACCTCGTTGTTTTCCTTGCTCAGGTCCTGGTGTGAACAAAGCCGTGCTGCTGCAGCTCCAGCAGGTCAAAGCGAAGGCCGCCAGGGACCTGGAGATGAGGAACAATATGAGACATATCTATGATAACCTGAGCTTTGAAGACAGCGAGATAAAACAGGACCCTACAAAGGACGCCAGCAGTCCTTCTCAAATTGAAGAGAATCAAAAGCAGGAGAAAGAAGAGAGGATCGATAGCTTCTGAGCGCCAATAACAAAACTGTTTTAAAGCTCTGATGAGTAAATACTTGTGTAGCAAACTGAACAAGGATGGACACAGAAACAGGACAGAGATAGCAAACAAGGAGTCAACTATTTGGCTCCCTATGGAAATCATTCGCTTTACTATGTACCTCAATCAGAAATGGACCAGTGGGACTGAAGACAAAACCACAGTTGTGCAATATATCCAAGCAATGCGACAAAGAGAGTCAACCTTCCTGCCTCCACATGAGAGAAACTACACGTCTGCAGCCGGGCTAGATTTGTTTTTTTTTATTGTGGAATTTCTTGACAGGACAGGAAGTCGACACATGTTCTTGAATTAGTCATTTTGTAGTTTTTGTATTAAATGTAATTATTCTGTATGTGTGAACACTTTACATTAGCACTGTTTAGAGGGATTTAAAGGAACACACACTCCATCTTTTCATGTTATAGTTTCTTCAATAGCATAGCATGGAAAATTGCTGTAAAATAAAAAAAATATTTAATGTGTTTAAACATTTAGAATCATCATTTTTTATAATAATTGTATTTATGGTACATAGAAGAAAAGCCTCGACACACTAGTTTCTTTAAAATCCATACAATTGTATGTGACTGACAGCTATTGTGTATTAAATATATAAATAAATATGGTAATCATTAAGTTCCATCTGTTAATGCCCTTCCTGTACTTTCATGCAAAGGTTTCTACTGAAAAGTTATTAAGCAGAGTTTTGTTTGTTCTATCTTTTTTTTGTCCTTCCATGTGTCTGGTCATGATAAACTGCACCTCTTCTTTAGAGGCTGCCTTCAAATGCTTTTGGGGTTTCCCCTTCCCTGTAGAGTGTTATAGTTTGTATTTTGTTGGTCGAACGCACTTATTGTAAGTCGCTTTGGATAAAAGCTAAATGATAAAAGCTAAATGCAATGTAATGTAATGTTATAGGTTTGTGTGCATGTAAAGGGTCTGCAGATGCTAACATCCCTGTGTTCCCTCCAGAAGGAGTTTCTCTCCCACACTCATAGTGACATCACTATGAAACAATCGCACTTCTATTCGCTAGCGCTCCAACTCACCGACGAGATAGGGTAAGGGGCGGGACATCTTTAAGTGGTTGACCAATCACAACAGAGCTGGTCAGCTAACCAATCAGAGCACACTGGGCTCTGGTTTCAGACAGAGGGGGAAAAGAGGTGCTGCAGCGGAGGCAGTATGAGGAACATAAAAAGCTTTTTGAACTTTAAAGCATGTAAAAATGACACAGTAAAGGCACAGAATACAAATATGAACCTGAAAATGAGCATAAAAGAGCTCCTTTAAGAAGATGAATAGATAAAGTAAAAGTAAAAACATTTTTACCATCACTCACTGGCTTCAGACCCAATCATTGGTTGTTCCTAGTCTAAAAGTACAATGGGAGCCAGAGCCTTTTCTTATCAAGCTCCAATTTTGTGGAATCAGCTTCCAGTTGGTGTTCGGGTGGCAGACAGCCTATCCGTTTGTAAGAGTGCGCTTAAGACCTTCCTTTTTGATAAAGCTCATAGTTAGGGCTGATTAGATTCAGCCCTAGTTTTGCTGCTATACTGTAGGCTTAGACTGTCGGGGGACACCTTACTTCTTCGTTCTCTCTGTCTGTACCTGTGTACTCTCATGTTCAGAATAAACCAGCTTCCCCCAAATTTCTTTTTGGTGTATCTACGCCGGGATCCTGAGTCGTGGCTGATCCTGTTGCTGTGGTCCTGGATCCTAAGTCCTGGATCCTGAGTCCTGCATCCTGAGCCCTGGATCCTGAGTCGTGGCTGTGCCTGTTGCTGTGGTCCTGGATCCTGAGTCCTGCATCCTGAGCCCTGGATCCTGAGTCGTGGCTGTGGTCCTGGATCCTGAGTCCTGGATCCTGAGTCCTGCATCCTGAGCCCTGGATCCTGAGTCGTGGCTGTGCCTGTTGCTGTGGTCCTGAGTCCTGGATCGCGTCTCCTGGATCCTGAGTCGTGGCTGTGCCTGTTGCTGTGGTCCTGGATTCTGAGTCCTGCATCCTGAGCCCTGGATCCTGAGTCGTGGCTGATCCTGGTGCTGTGGTCCTGAGTCCTGGATCCTGCATCCTGAGCCCTGGATCCTGAGTCGTGGCTGTGGTCCTGGATCCTGAGTCCTGCATCCTGAGCCCTGGATTTCGAGTCGTGGCTGAACCGGTCTCTGCGGTCCTACCTGACTCACCATACTACTTCCCTGATGGCTCCCACAGGATTGTTGACATCCTCGTGGATTCATCTTCTTATTATAGACACATGCATTTCCAAACATTTGGAAATGCATGTGTCTACCTATGTTGTAAATGTATTATCTTTTCAATTTACACACGGCATCTATTGCACGTCTGTCCGTCCTGGGAGAGGGATCCCTCCTCTGATGCTCTCCATTTTCCCCATTAATTCTTTGGAGGTTTTTCCTTGTACGATGTGAGGGTCTAAGGACAGAGGGTGTTGTATTGTCATACTGATATTCTGTACAAACTGTGAAGTCCACTGAGACAAATGTAACATTTGTGATATGGGGCTATATACATAAACATTGATTGATGATTGATCAGCGATTCTTCATTGTCATAACTGAAACATTAGTAAAACTCAGAAATAATTGACAAATAAAACATTTAAATAAATGAAGAAGCATCAAACGTTTTGGGTATTTCAAATTTTGTTTTATTAACAATGCATCCCTTTGATAGGATTGTATGTTTCTTTAGGTCATCAATGCCCCCAAAAACATACTGTACACATTTTACAAGGGAAACCACGATTCAGGCAACAAACAAAAGAAGAGAAAAATCTTTTTTAAATTATAATACAGTCTTGAGGAAAAAATATAAATAACTTTTTTTTTCTTCTCTGGTCGAGCTCACTCTATGGTACAGACATATAATAAATAGATCGGATCTGACATCACTCAGCTGATCTATGAATCATCTTTCTATGAGTCCATTTGTGTAGCAGCATTATAGCAAAAACAAGCCAATGGAAACAGAGATCCCCAGTTTCCCTGGAAACCTTTTACAAATCCTTAAGTCATCACACTCCCCCTCCTCCATCTCAGCCAATGACAGACAGTGATATTGCATTGTGGAAACAGATTCAGGGGTCATTATATTCCAACAATGTGATGGCAGCATGTAATGGCAATCTATTATTATTATTATTTTTAAGTTACAAGCAAGAAACACGTTAAGGTGACGTTACAACATTGCCATGCTTGTTGCACATGCAGTGGAGGTGAAGCACAGAGGTAAGAAGCAGAGATTTGGTACTAAATCTGTAATGAATCAATCTAGAAATAACTTATAATCTTTCCACAAGATTAGCCCACCTCCTGAGGAGCTGAAGAAAAACATTAAAAAGGTCCTAAGCAAGTAAAGGATGGAATAAACTAGCATTCAATCACATGCTATTCTCCTTGTGTACTTATATAGTGCTTTAGAAAATACAATACTAATGATGTTTGATTGTCTGAGATACAAGTCATAGAAAAGTAATTGGCTTTCTGTGCTGACGAGAGGCTACAGGTTGTAGGAAGAGGTGAGGAAGGAGAAGCAGGTTATGTGGGGCGAACAGATCACAAGTCGGGGTGAGATATGAACCAGGAAGGCTCCACATGAGTTTGAAAAACAGCAGGACCCTTCTGTAGTGTTTTGTTTCATAAGGAGAAAATAACGCGGGGGGGGGGGGCAGAGGAATCACTGGGTAGACACAACAACATGCCTTATTCAATTCATTACAGGAAAAACCACCATCTCCGGAAAGAGATCAAATGTTACTTTTTTCTTCTTCTTTAAAAACACAACGAGAGCCTTTGTCCTAATGATCCTTTAGCATTATGTTGATGTATTATTGTGAGTGTTGCTCAAGATTGCCGACCCTTCTGAAAACAGTATTTGGTAAAACTGCTCCCCCCTTTTTCCTGTTAAAAAAAGTCTTGAACAGCGTGTCGGGTTGAATTGTGTTTACAGATATCGACATCCTTCGTTTCCAAGAAAGGCGAGCGATGACCACTTCCTCTTCTTCCTTGGCTATGGTACTCGGTCTGAGTAACAGAAACATTCCAGACGCCTTCCTAACGTTACATATTATACTCTGTCAGTCCATTTGTTCATGTTGGTAGGGTGGCAGGGGACACATGAGGAGGAGGAGGAGGAGGATCAGGATTCTGCAGGAGCGTCTTCGTCCTCTTCAACAGGTTTTGGTATCTTCATCAGGATCCCCTCTGCTTCCTCGTACATCTGGGAAATAAGGACATGGGGATGGTAGACAAAGACGTAGAGTTTCAGATCATGTAGGGGAAGGGGAGGTATAACCACAATTAATGTAATAACTCGACAAAATGTAATGCATGTTCAGTCCGTTTCATAGTAATACTTGATATTGTAATACATTATGAAATATTGCATTGGTTATTTTATTTCGTTTGATGTAGGTGGAGCAAACTAAACATTTACTTCTTTATACTATAAATATCTGAACTAATTATATATGTTATAATTAATTTATAGTCAGTTCTGATTTTGTAAGAAGGATTTTTATGAATGAAGACACACACTTTGGTTGGTAATTACACATACATGTATTATTTCACAACTTGTGCCGCAGTGACGCGTCCTAAAACCCGGATGTAAACTCCTTCCGGTTCCTTCGACAAAAAGCAATTCAATTTCTCCATAGGATTTTGGAAAATAGCTGGAAATAAGGTCTGTGGTTGACACACATTTAAGAGACAGATCACGTTTTGTTCAGCCGGATAATATCCACATGTCTATCCTACTTTTATCATTTTCTAATCATAAATCTATCGATTAGATCATCTGTCAACCACAGACCTTATTTCCAGCTATTTTCCAAAATCCTATGGAGAAATTGCATTGCTTTTTGTCGAAGGAACCGGAAGTGGTAAAATGCTATACCTTCAGCAATATTTAAAATGTAAGGCAGACATTTCTTTTTTTTTTAGGTGAAAATGCTAAACATTTAGTTATTACATATTGTGGTGTAATATACGAGTGTGTTGACACAGCGGTTATGATGTCTCACCGCCATGAACTGCACGTCCTGGAAGAGTTCCTGTATGAAGCGTCTGGAGGTCAGGCGGAACATGCAGTGGGCTAAGAGGTTAGAAACCTCGGAGTACAGGCAGATGTCGTCAAACGCGTAGGGGAACTTCTCCTTTATCCTGCAGGAGAAAAAAGGGTATGCAGGTGTAAAAAAAAAAAAACACCATTTGCAAAAAAAAATACATTTTGCAAATGAACATGCATCTCAGAAAATGTTAAATAGAGCTGCTGTATTTCTTTGAGTTTTTCACTGACAAAACAAGACATTTAAAGACATCAACTTGGATTTCGAGAAACTAGGATGGACATTTACTATTTCCTGACATTTTATACACCAAACAATGAATGGATTCACATGTGGAAAAATGGGCAGATCAATTGATAACAAAAATAACCAAGTCGCAGCAATAAAAAGGAGAGAGAGCCATACGTCAGTAGTCCTGTTTCGTGGCCTTTGGTCCCTACAGAGGAGCTGAGGTTGATGATGAGGCGGAGCACCTCCTTCCTCAGCAGGACTCGGGAGGCGGGGCCGTCTTCTGATATCGACTTGCTGCCTACATGACACATAATGAAGAAATATTCAATATTTACTACGAAAAGGTTTCTTTATTTATGATAAGGTATAGAAACCCCCCCGCTCTGCAGGTTGTGTTCACTTACTCGTAGTCTTCCCTATGACGATGTCCGCGGGGATGGGCGTGCTGCAGACGGACCCCTGGGACACGCCGGCTTCGCTGCAGCCCGACACGCCGGATAACTTGGACTGAGGCATGACCTCCAGGCGATGGCCGCTCTGCGCTCCCCACGGCTGGAAATCCACAAATTCTGGAACAAAGAAAGATCCCGTTATATTCTGCACTGAGTTACATGTTAACGACTGGATGTGTGTGTGTGTGTGTGTGTGTGTGTGTGTGTGTGTGTGTATGTGTGTGTGTGCTGACCTGTGCGGGGGTGTGTGTTGTTGATGGGCGGCCGAGTGGGGTATCCGAGCACGCTGGACCCCACGCAGTAGAGGCAGTTCTCCTCGGTGTGCTCCTGCAGGCCCGTCTCGTCCAAACCCACCGTGTGGGTCTGGCTGTCGCCGCGGCACACGATCAGCTCGGAGATGCTGAACTGCTGCTTCAGGGAGGGGAGGGGGGGGGCGGTCTCCTGCACACAGAGGAACTCAGTTAGCTAAAAAATCAACCCTTTTCTTTATTTGCTATTTTTAAATATTGTGAAATCATTTTATCCATTGCAGTTTTGCATGATTATATAACAACATAGGATTTAGTCAAACATAAATAATAATAATATATAATAATAATTGGCAGAGAGTTCCAGTGTTGGAGCCACCACCTGGAAGGCATGGTCACATTTCTTTTTTTTTAACAAATCAGATTCATGGCAAATAAAATAAATATATATCATATAATACCATAGGATGTAGTAAAACATAAAAAGTAAAATAATAAATATATATAAAATAATAAATATATCTCCACTTCATGGTTAGAAGGATTGGTAACTTGGAATTATCTTTGCAATAATAGGCTCATTATTGGACTCCATAATTAGAATACTATAGTTTTTACAATAGTTATATTTTTGAACTATTATAGTTCTACAGTATGTGTATAAGTATAAGTCCTGTCCTTATTTCTGTGTCTGCACCATTTACACCAAAGCAAATTCCTCCTATGTATAAATCTACTAAAAATAAAAAACTTTTTCTGATGATATCAACTTTCTGATTGTAACCTTAAAGGAGAAGTTATTTGCTTTATCTCATTAAGGGGTACTAACGGAACTAAACGGGAAAAGTACTCCGGTGTGAACCCGCCTATAGATAACAACCATCGGTTTCAGAATATTTTTGTTCTTAATTTTGGGATTTAAATATAATTTAATCAGGCCTTAAGTTGAATGTACCGTCTCCATCTCCAAAGAGGAAGCTTTTGCGCTCCTCCGACGGGGGGCTGATCCTCTGCTGAAAGTAGGCCGAGTCTCTGATGTGGAACATGTCGTTGATGTCCATGGGCAGAGCCAGGCCCACGTAGTCGTCGCTGCACCCGTAGGTGGCGCTAGAGACCATGGAGCGCACTGAGGAGCAGCGGTGCAGAGTGCTTTGGTTGATGGGACTGAGCAGCTCCTCTTTATCCAGAGAGGCAAAGCTGAGCGCCTTCAGGAACCTAGGGAGGGCAAGAGAGGAGCGTGAGAGGGTCCGGGGGGAGAGACTGGGACAGAACGAGGAACACGAGGAGTAAGTGAAAGAAATGTTGGATGAAAGCAAAGAGACGGACTTTAGTGAACACAGAAAGAAGGGTTGGCGATGGGACTCTAAAGAAAGCTATCAGGGCGGCAGCTGAAATCACAGAACACCTGTTCATCCAAAGAGCATCATAGCTGTTTCTAATATCTACTTGCAACAATTTAAAATATAATAAAGCACCCAAGGATGAAAAGTCTGAAGTTTCACAAATTAAAAAACTACCTATTAAGATTATTAATTAAGGGAAAGGTTTATTAGAGTAGACAAAATAACCTGAACCTAAAAGTTTATATAACTATTTCTAATATTGGCCAATGAAAGTATACCGTTTGACAAAGTCTGTGTTGTTTTGAATCAATTCAAATACATTGTATTAGCCACGATTTTCTGAGTTTATTTATCTTTCAAAAAAAGTTCAAGCTTCTTAAATATTTGCCGCTTTAGCCATTTTACATTAATGTTCTGATATTCGACAAAAACAACAATGTTATATATTATCACTATTCCTTTCCAAGAACAAAACATTCATAGTTTTACCAATTCAATTGATTCAATGTTTGATTTAATTTCTATAGAAGGAAATAAATACTGTGCAGGATTGTTTTTATAATCAATCAATTATTACACTATAATACTTAACATCCCAACACATTGTTATGCCATACAAACAGTGTAACCACATGCATGTTATAACACCTATCTCTACCTGTGTGCTGTTCTCTATGAAGCTCTATGAGGGGGGAACCACTAGTGACTGCATACTCTACATGGGGCTTGTTCACTCTACACACACTACAGGAGTCAAAGCAGCTATCTGATTGGGTCAGTTCTAGAAGCTACAGCTCTACTAAAGTAGGACACTGGGTCGCTCCACCCACCGCGGGGCAAGTGTCCTGGACAGCCTGCGGTATGGACTTATGACGGGGGGCTCTGGACAGGTACCCCTCCTGTCTGACATCCTGACAGACATAGAAGGTGCACAAAACACACACCTTTCATTACCATGTAGACAGAAGCAAAACCCCTCGCCCAGACACAAAGCTGCTTAAGCTATAGTTGCAAAAATGATTGTTTTGTAATTAACAATTTCAATATAGATCACAGCTATAATGCATTATACTTATACGTTTATTGTGGAGGCTCTTGAACAGTTATCAACTGGTGGGTCTAATAAAACATAATGTCTATACACACCTATACACACCAGAACAATCAACCATTTCATTTTATTAAACACCTCTACGTTTTAACAATTACAATTTTAGGCTCAGGGACATTTGTTTTCTGTTAATACTACAAAACTGTATCAGTCAAATCTAAATTGAATTATATTTCATATATATTTATCCTCGTAATTTCTATAGAAAGAGATGTAACTGTTGTGCAGCACTGCTAGTCTCATTAGTTGACATTTCAAAGTTGTTATGTATTATTTATAATGGGTTATAAATAAAATGATGATTGAGATTACAGTAAACTTATTTGCTGGAGCTCAAAACACTTTCCACACCACTGACAGGTTCCACCATCATTTGACCTGCCTTCAGCCTCTTCTGTCTGACATGTATTTACCCACCATTGCTTTCACATGATTTAGTTACTTTAACAAAAACGTCTTCATACCAGAGAAAACAGTATAACCACGTGTGTATTATAACCTCTATCTCTACTTGTGTACTACTTACACCTCTAGGAAGCTCTAAGAGGAGCGACCAAACAGCCACTGAACAATCTACATGGGTTTTTTTCACACTACAGGAGTCAAAGCAATATGAAATGAACTGCAGACATAGAGCTAGAGAAAGCAGCTATCTGATTGGGTCAGTTCTAGAAGCTACGGCTCTACTAAGGAGGACACTGGGTCGCTCCACCCACCGCGGGACAAGTGTTCTGGACAGCCTGCGGTATGGACTTATGACGGGGGGCTCTGGACAGGTACCCCTCCTGTCTGATATCCTGACAGACATAGAAGGCGCACAAAGAACACACACACACACACACACACACACACGCTGCTTAAGCTTCAGTAGCACAAATAGAAATGTGAAATGTTTTGTCGGTAACCCTTTCTACGAAGACCACAGCTATATGACATCATGTTGGCATTCATAGCGGATTACAATGCATTTATAAAGCTTTATTCACTACACCCAAGATGCACTTTTATACCGGTCATAAAAGGTTTTAGATGTTGCTGAAAATAAATTAAAGGCGTATTATAAATGCTTTTGATACGTTATAAACTACAGGCTGACTTATAATACATCGTGACTTTACTGTTTCAGTGCTATGGTACACACAGTATCAGAAGTTATCAGAAGAAATAGTAGATAGATTATTAAGTCAAATGATTGTTTTTGTGTTGATATCATGCATCAGAAAGCATGAGTTGTTAATGAGTGAATTCAAGCAGCATTATAAATCCATTATAATTCACTGTGAATGCCCTCATAATGCAGTATAGATGCAGTCTTCATAGAAAAAGTGTAACTTATTGTTTCTCTAGGGCGAGGAAACACATTTTATTTTTAGTTAATGCAACAACGACCATCGTTCAGAAAAAATGAATAATTGGATTATTGCAGAACCTTTTCTATGGATGCTTTCTGTCATATTGGCCTTACCTGCGAGGCGTTAACCTGGAGTCCAGGCTGCCGGTCTTCATGGTGATGGTGTCGGTGAACAGCACGTCTTTGGCGGGTGAAGCCAGCGCCTCACTGTGAGACAGAGACGGCTGGATCCTCTGCTGCTGCAGCCTCTTCAGCGTGGCGTAGCCCAGGGCGTCCCGCGGGCTGGTGTACATGAAGCTGCAGTCGGCCAGGTTCTTCATGGTGTTCAGGGAAGGAGACTTGAGGGACTGGGCTCTGCGGGGGAGAGTGTGGGAGGAGCCAGGCGGTACCAGAGAGGCGGTGGCGGACTTGGAAGTGGACATGTGGTTGGTCTGAGCCTGGGGGGTGAGTGAGGAGAGCGTTTTGACAGTCTTGGCCGACACCACAGTGTTGAGGCTCACGCAGTCAGAGGAGTCAGGTTCTGGTTCGGGATTATCGGGGTTTCCCACGGTCTCCCTGGAGGGGCTGGAGCTCATGGAGCTGATGCCGCTGGTGGTGGTGTCCGTGTTAAAGCTCTGACTGCGGCTTTTAAACTGAGTACCTCCGCCGACCCCCCCCACGTTTCCTCCACTCAACGAGGAGCCGCCGTCCCCTGCTAGACGCTCCCGGCTGCTCTGCTCCCTCTCTCGGCTGGGCTGCTCCCCCGCACCATGCCCTGCGAGGCCACTCAACCCGAGGGAGGAGCCCCCTACCCTGGCCAGCCCGCCCTCTACGAGCTGCTCCTCAGAGCCCCCCCTCGTCCCGACAAAGGACGTCTCCAGGCTGACCGTGGGACTCTTGGGCATTCCTCTGCCGTTAAAAACAGGGGTGAAGACGTCTTGGTTGGGGCTGTAGATAGAAGGCTCCGTCACCGTCCTGTTCCGCTTCATGCTGCCCATCTTGAGTTCAGTGGGGGTGCGAGAGCCTGAGGGGATCTTGGGGTCGCTGGTGGAGCGCAGCTTCTTGCTCGGGAGGGACAGGGAGTTGAGGAAGCGAGTGCGGACGAAGCGGGTGGAGGCCAGGATGGTGAAGGGGCTGCGGTCCTTCGCTGGTTTGGAGTGTAGAAAGTAAGAGGGCTCATCTGAGGGGTCCAGGACATCACACTTGTCGTCGTCAAGGATGTACATGTCTGAGAGCACAAGGAGTGAAGAACACGATAGGAACATTAGAAGGCTATATATACACACCGTAATATATAACACATAAGAACTCACTGCTACATAGTTTGAGTTTCTCCTTCTGATAACCATGAACAATTTGCAATTGTCTGTATATACAGCATGTCTGTGCTCCACCATGGTTAGGACTTTTTTTAAGAACATTTTATTATCCAGAATATTTTATATTGTTTATATTTGATATACTATTTTTCATTTTATTTGTAATTGTTCATTCTCTGTTCTACTTTTTAAGTATTTGTATTTTAATGTTGAACACACTGCTTCTGAAACAAAATAATTTCCCAAATTGAGATCAATAAAGTATATCCATCCATCTATCTATCTATTAGGGGTGTAACGGTATACGTACCCGTACCGAAATGATTCGGTACGGGCCCTTCGGTTCGGTACACGTGTGTACCGAAGTGTACCGAACGAATATAACGTTAAACGTAAAAAATTGAGAACGTGAACAACTTTTTGGAAGTAATCTCAGGTGCTGCGGTAATTTGCTCACATTGGGTTCAACGCGTCATAGAGCGAGCAAGTCATTTCATTGGATGAGAGGCATACTATGAGGGCTGGTCACAGGGATGCGTTCAAATGTAGTCAGTAATTTGAGGAACTGTCGAAATGGCGAACGCAGATAAAGTTGAGCTGAAAATCCTCCAGCATCATTGAAGTCTCCGGTTTGGGAACATTTTGGTTTCGCAGTTACGTACAAGGATGACGGACAAAGACAGGTGGACCGAACCAAAGCTGTTTGTCGGCATTGTTCAACTAACATTGGTTACGCGGCTGGCAATACATCACACTCATTTGAAAAGGCATCACCCGAACGTGAATATCACCGGTACCAAAAGAAAAAAGACTGAAGTGCAAACCCAACTCCCGCTAGCATGTAAGTCTCCACCACTCGCAGAAAGTTCAGACCGAGCCAAAGCTATTACAAACACCAAATATCCTTATGTTGCCATGTTAGCAAAGCGCTACCTGGCTGTATTTGCTACCTCTGTCCCTGTCTCTGTCTCTGTGGGTGTTCTCCACAATAAAGTATATATAGCGACATTGTTAGTGCCAGCAGATCTGCCCTTTCGGCAAGCAATGTGGACAAGTTAATTTTTCTTAAAAAACATGAAAATACAATGACAAGCAAGTCATCGAAATGCTGCACCTTAACGTTTATTTTATTATATTTTGTATTTATTTGAGTGAATATTCACAGTTTAATAATAATTAAAAACCCAAAACTAATAGTTTATGTTTTGTGAGTAGTCTACTAGTACAGTAAAGTTCAAATACAGATTATTTCAGTTAATCGAAATGATGCACCTTAATGTTTATTTTATTATATTTTGTATTTATTTGAGTGAATACATTATTCAAAGTTTAATAATAATAAAAATAAAAACAAGAAATATTTTATGTTTTGTGATAATTTTTTCTGCTTTACCGAAAACGTACCGAACCGAACCCGTGACCTAAAAACCGAGGTACGTACCGAACCGAAATGTTTGTGAACCGTTACACCCCTACTATTTATCCATCTATCTACCTACCTAATGGCCAGGGAACAAACAAAACGTATAGAAATGGGATCTTTTATATCCCTTATGTATCAATAATGTTTCCACTGTAGTAGAGCTGACTGTCTTCAAATGCTGGTAATAAAGCAAAGCGAATCCTACGTACTTGGTTGAGACTCGCTCTCGCTGTTGTGGCGCGAGCTGGTGGACTCAGAGTTCAGACTGAGCGTGCTCGGGACTGAGGAGAGTTCAGAGGTCAGCTGTGCGTCGACCTCTTCTGGAGTGACCGGCCACTGCGTCCTGCGGCTGTGTCTGACTGCGTCCCAGCCGTACTGCTTCAGCACCTCACAGCCCTGCCGGGTCTTGGAGATGACCCCCAGCACATACACACACGTTCTGTGAAGGAGTGAGAGGATGGTTAGTGAACACACTGATTGTACAAATGTGTTAACCAATAACGTACTTTCAATCATAAGTACCATAGCATGATGTAGGTGAATAAAAGAAAAACACCCCACTTCTGGAAAAGTGGTGAGGTCAAAATACTACATTTACAATAGTTTTGGAAAGTAAAACATGTGTGTAAGACTGAGGGACCAGAGTAGTTCCCACACGACTTGTGGGATAGCAAAGATGGAACTAAAATAGTAGAAAACTCTTAAATCATGGCTGAAAAATGAATGGGCTATTTCTTAAGGATAAGATAAGTGATAAGAATAGGTGAAATATTCAAATTGGAGAAAGCACACTAATTATTTAAGGCCAGATTCATTATTGTGGGACAGTAGAAATGCCCCAGCATACAAATCATATTCTACAGACTTTTAACAAAAAATATCCACTCACCATGGTCCTTTTAATATTTTATTTCAAATAAAAGATATCAATTATTAAAAATGTATCATTTACACATGAATTATATTGCATATGGATCAGTCCTACTTGGAACACTTTTATAGTGTTTAATGACTGGTGGCTTGCTGATCTGTAATGTCATAAGAAATCTCATTTCATTTTTTTGCATTTACTCATCACTGTTTTTGAATTATATTCTGAGCTCTTAACACCACCAAAGTCTATTACGTGTTTAAATTCCAAGAGAACATTTGTTTCTTTCTTGATAACTGTGCCCCGTGTGAGACCCATACATGCTACACTGTAAACGCTTACCCTCGTACTGACAGTACATCACAGTTCTGAGCCAACGAGAGGATGTCAGGAATGACGTTCTCCTCCTGCAGGAGATTCAGACCCCAGTTTGAAGAGCCAATGTTGCCCTGCATGGAAAACAACACACACCATTACAGCCATGTCTTTGTAACTAGCCTTTTCATTATTATTATAGCAACACAGTAACTGAGTTGACATGAAGTGACACTGACCAGAGCCCAGAGAGCGGCCTTCAGCTGTTTGATGCCCTCCCAGGTGTCCAGCATCGGGGAGCGAACAGTGTAGCTGAGGTCAGGAACCACACTCTGGAGAAAATCGAAAATAGACGTTAAGAAGAAAGGCGGCTAAATCTGCATAATCCCCAGAGGAATCAATGTATAAATGAAGCACTTATAAAAGAACAGAGTGTGCGGTGGAACAAGTGAGAAATACCTGAGCCTCCAATAGATGGCAGCCTGTCTTATCGTGGACCAGCTGACCATACAAGTGCACAGGAAGATAGACATTTGGTCTTTGTAACCTGGAGACACAAACAGAGAAGTTTAAAAAGAAGTACGAAAGGGTATCCTTTGCATTGTCAGGTGATAATAAACTCCAGCTTCTCACCTTTGGTTGCTGCGTCTGACGTAGTTGTCTCCATCTACAGGTTTGCGGTAGGTTGTAAGTGCTTCGTTGAGCTGCTCCTCTATTAGGTCCACGTACTTTAGGTTGTATTCCTGCAAACAAAGATGCATTTATTTCAAATAGCAAACCTCTGTTAGTGCGTGGTCTTCATATATTATAGCCAATGCAATTTAAACGTGGTTTGCACATTTCAAGGCCAATATCGTGATCATACCTTCTGCCATTTGTCCAGCTGTTTGCTGACGTACCCCCTCTCATTGAGGTAGGAGAAACCTTTAGGAATGGACAGGAACCTAAAACAGCAGAAAAACAAGATGTTCAGTTCAGTTTCAGAAGGCTGCTGGACTACATCAAAGACTGACCCAAATCCTATCATCCACGTGTGGCAAGCAGTGCTGTTGTAATGACCTGAGGAGCAGCAGGAGGCCCTTGTCTCCCAGGTGGGACAGAGCTGGTTTCAGCTGGATGAGAGCGTGGAGGTTGGCCTGAGAAGCAGCACAACAGACAGTCAGACAACAGTAAAGAGGAGAATCAAATGCTACTGTCCGGCAAACACCATCAACTCAATCTAATTGCATTTCAACATATCAAGAATAACATATATCCAGGAATTATTCATTATTATTCTGTTATTTATGAAATCCTGAGGGTGATCCATGTTCTTAGCATGATCTAAACTGTTTTATTTCCTTTGCTATTGACTTAAGAACAACAAGCACACATATTAGTTTCTTTTTTTCGTCAGGGAAAAATATTTTAAATAGTCAATCAGGATCATTACTAATTGCAATCACAAGATGATACCATTTCTAAATAGAACAAAAAGCATGTATGTTTTCTTCTAGGTGAATTTTAATGTATCATGTTTAAGTATGTGGTCGTTATTGTTCACTGTAATAGTGAGGGAAGAATGCATCCTAATCTGACAAACAGATCCTTTGTTCTACTTCTCTGACGGTCTTCTGTGGGACGCATGTGTTTGACAGCAGTCACCTTGTCCTCGCAGGCCTCGTCCAGGATGTCCAGAGCCTCCATGGACACAGCCTTGCTGTGGTCGTGGAGCTGTGTGACCAGCAGCTCCATGCCCCAGCTGCTGAAGAACTCCACGCTCGCACGTAGCAGCACACGGAGGTGTTTGGTGGCATACAACCTGCACACCTGCTCAACAAGGAAGGAAGAATTGTGGGAGAAAGAGTGGAAATGAGGATATTACTATCAGAACCTATATGTGTTGGGAACAAATGAGCAAAGCATGGTAAGTGTATTACTTTGTATCTATTAGAGATGCACCGATGGGCCAGCGGAGGAAACCCAGTCTTATGTATCCGTTTGTTACGGGTCATATTTAAACTCTTGAACCACACACGGACAAAGACAGTAACTTCTCAGCCAGACACAAACGGCATCATACTGTCGGTGCTGAAGTTCTTCAGTGTGAGGTAATAAAACATAAAGCTTGCAATTTGTAACACCTCCAAGAGCAAAATAGAGGACCAACTTTAAACATGTGTACCTTATTTTGAATACCTTTGGTGCCAATTAATGTTCTTATAAAAGAAACAAATACAATTGGAATTTGCAGACAATCGGAGTACCCAGTGGCGTAACTATCGCCGGTGCAGCCGGTGCATTGCACCGGGGCCCACAGCCGTCCAGGGGCCCATGCAGAGGCCCATGCAAAAAAAAATTCATTTAAAAAAAAAAAAAATCTTTTTTTGGGGCCCCAATGATATTTTTTGGGGCCCCAATGGCATTGACTGGTTCACGCAGTCTTCAAAGTAACCTAGCAACCTAAATTAATTTGTAATTTGTCTGTCCAATGACCTTGCTCCCTTTCATGTCATGTGATACCTTGCGTGACGAGCGAACCGTTAAATCAACATCAAAGGTTATATGTACTACATAGCTATAGCAGCAGCAAGATCGGCAGAATTATAACAAATTTAATAGCTAGCATTTATAATGTACAGCAAACCAAAACACAAGAGCGGCGCTCAAAAGAGAAAGGACAAGAGAGAACAAGGAGATGTAAAGGCTAAACTGACAAAATTAGACAGTTTTTTTTGTCATACATCGTCCTCGAAATCGAACGTTAACGTTGGTAATGTTGATGTGCAGCGGCAGCCGGAGCCGGAGGCTAACGATAGCTCACCTGCCTCACCATCGTCTAGCTCCACAAGTGAAGCTGTATCCGTGGCTGTGCGACCTTCTTCTCCAGCCATGAGCCAGGAGGAGAGGATGGATTTGGCTGTGCCCGGCGGTGGTCCTACAGTTCCCGCAAGGGCCCCGCCCCCAACCGATAGGGGACTCTATGGCGCTATTGAGACCCCTGATCAAAGGCTATATTATAGCAACTGGCCCATGTAGGCCTACCGGCCAATTCCCCAGAGACACACATCAAGGAAACAGGTGTTTCTCCGAGATCTATTACACCACCACTACCAGAGCAGGTATCAAACTGCCACGGACATGGCTGTGTTACTCCCCCACCCTGGACTGTGCCTATTGTGAGCCGTGCTGGCTGTTCGCAGACCGAGGTGCACCGTTCTACAGTGATGCGTGGGTCAAAGGAGTTCGTGACTGGCAACATTTGTCTGCGAGGATTGACTCACATGCACAATCTCAGGTCCATGTCGGAGCGTGTGTCATATATGAACAGTGGAAGAAAAACGGGAGAATCGATGCAAACATGGAGAGGAATGCAAGGAATGCTGCTAATTACTGGAGACAGGTACTTGAGCGTATTGTCAACGTTACAATCACTCTGGCCACTTGTAACTTGGCTTTTAGAGGACATAGGGAGATTCTTGGACAGCCCAACAGTGGAAACTTTCAGTATGATAGAACTTTTAGCATGTTATGATCCGGTTCTGAAAGAACTTGTTGAGCGACCACAAGGTTCTGTGAAATACTTGAGTCCAGCTGTTCAAAATGAGATAATCTACATAATCGCAAAGCGGGTGCAGTGCGACATTCAAGTAGAAATAAATAATGCTCCGTTTTTTTCTGTGATCATGGACACCACCCAAGATATTTCCAAAAGAGACCAAATTAGCCAAGTGTATAGATATGTGACAATCCAGAGGGATGAAAACGACAACGCAAAAGATATCCTGATAAACGAGGCTTTCTTGGGGTTCGTGGAAACAGTGGACACGTCAGCTCGTGAACTCCAAAAGAAAATCCTGGACAGCATAGAGAGTAACGGATTTCACCTGAGCAAGTGGGGGATACGATGGCGCGGTGAACATGAGTGGGGTCTATTCAGGTGTGCAGGCCAGGATCATGGAGATGGAAGCGCTTGCCAAATATGTACACTGTGCTGCACACAATTTAAATCTGACACTGAATGACTCCGTAAAGAATATAGCGGAGCTGCGCAATTTTTATAATATTGTTGAGACTCTTTATACTTTTTTCAGCCAAAGTATTAAGAGATGGTCACTCCTTTCCGGTATCATGTCATCAGAACTCTCAGAGCATGGTAAAGTTACCATGAAGCGCCTCTGCCCAACCAGGTGGTGCTCAAGACATGATGCAATTGCTGCCCTTAGATACCGGTATGTAGATATCATGAAAGCTCTAACTAAAATCGCACTGGTCAGCGAAAAGAGGGAGGAACGGGACGAGGCTACAGCCCTAAAAAACCATATGGAAAAATTCAGCTTTATTTTTCTTGTCGTACAACAGACAAAAATACTGGAAAACATGAATGCAGTGTCAAAGATGTTGCAGGCAAAGGATGTAGACATCCACAAAGCTGTTGGTGTCCTCCAAAACACAATACAGGCCCTATCTGCATACCGCATGCATGACTTTGACCAGGTCAAACGCACCGCTCAAAATCTTGCTGAGAGATGGGGAGCGCAGAGCGAGTTCACGGAAATTCGCAAAAGAAGGATGAAACGCCACTTCGATGAACTCAGTCAAGACGAGAGGCTTAGTGATGGCGAGAGCTGTTTCAGAATTAATGTGTTCAACGCCAGCCTGGACATCATTAACAGCCAGCTGTCAGAGGTTCACTTCTATGCGTGAAACGAACAAACTGTTCCAGGATATCCACCCCGGGACATTGAACCGTGCGCAGGATAATGCCCTTCACCAGCACGCGCAGCGCCTGGCGGACCACTACAGCAGGGATTTATCCCCGAGTTTCCCCGTCCAACTCCTTGCATTCAGAGCCTGCTTTAAGACTGAAATAGCTAAAGAACCATCTGTGAAGGATATGACCAAGATGCTTATTGTGGACCACAGCTCAATGGCAGCCACATTTAGCAAAGTGTGCACAGCATTGCTGTTATATCTCACCATACCTGTCACTGTTGCAACCGCAGAACGCTCATTCTCAAAGCTCAAATTGATTAAGACGTATTTAAGAAGCAGCATGGGACAGGAACGACTCAGTGGATTGGCAACACTCTCAATAGAGAATAGCAGGGCCCGGAAGTTAGACCTGAGCAGCGTTGTTGACGACCTTGCTGAGCGCAAGGCCTGCAAGATTAACTTCTAATGGTGATGAGTAGCTTTTCTCTTGTTATGGAGAGGGATCGGAGATTTAAATCTGTAGCAATGTAATTGTGACCTCTCTTATGTTGGAAAATGCGCATGGTGCGCACCTAACCTGTGTCTGTGATAATGTTTGGCCGCTGTGCCATGATGAAGAAGGATTCATTCTGTGATTGTGTGATTAGTTTGCTGTGCTGTTGTTTTTTGAAGCATGATTTTTTTGAATAGTCTAATAAATATAAAATAATTGCCAGTGTTATCAGTTGCAAGTGTGTATTTGTTGTAATAATGACGACTTGATTTGAAGCCTGTGTTTGTGAGTGAGAGTGAGAGAAAGAGAGATAGAGCGCGTGCTCCAGGAATAATGCAGAATAGGCCTAATCAGAATCATTTCAAGTTCAGATTCAATGTTGTTTGCATAAGTAGGCTATATTTTTCGTTTCGTTTATTTATTAAGTTAATTTCAAGACAACTTTGGGAATTTTGTTTGTTTGTTATGAGTTTTAAATAGATTTTGAAAGTGGAGAGAGAGAGAGAGAAAAAAAAAAGAAGCAAGCAGCGCTGAGTTGGGAGGGGGGGGGCCCAAAAAAAGTATTTGCACCGGGGCCAATCACAACCTTGTTACGCCACTGGGAGTACCTCTATTATGACTTTTCAATGAGATGTCTAATGTTGCTTTCAATCTTGGGTAGATGCCAACTTCAGAACTTGTGCTGCTTTTCCTAACAGTGCCTTATGCAGGTTTTTACGTGTACGTCACGCCCTGTTTCTGGAGGCTGTCTTACATCAGTAGCAGCAGTAAGGGTCTTGGAGAGGATCACTCTGGCCAGACCGTCCCTGCTGTAGTCCAGTGTGGATATAGCCAGTTTCAGCACAGCATCCTGGTTCTTCACAGAGCACAGATTCAGCAGGCTGCAAAAAAAAGAAAAAGAAGATGTTAGGTAAAATGTTTCAATGTATCAATAGGACATCTCTGTAAGTCTTCCATTCTAGGTCCATGCACTCACCACTGAAACAGGCCACATTTCTCCAGCAGTTTGACTCCCTGTGGGTGAGCAGAGAGTGTCCCCAGGAAGAGGAAGTAGTGTTGGCTGAGTGTGGTGAGCAGGCCGTTACTCTGCAGACAGCGCTCGGGCTTCAGCCCTGAGGACGAGGACAGCCATGACACCATGTCCTTCACCAGGTCCTCCAGGTACCCCTGGCCGTCCTGTTGACGGGGAGAGAAGAGAAAAGACCGAAACGCAAGGCAGGTAAGATAATGATAAAAAGGTAAAAAAGCAAAGTGAGTTTTTGTTGTGTAAATGCACACTTCTCTAACCTCATCCGATTCCATGAGGAACTCGATAAACTGACAGCCAACCACAGTGAGTTGTCTGGCTTTTGGGTGATCCAACGCCAGCCCTGCGTACAATTTACTACTGGGCTTATAAAAGTACAGCAGCCTCCGCACAAACCTGCATCACACAGAAAAAGGATGTCAATACAATTAACCGTTTCAAATGCTGCCCTGGGTTTTGATGATACGAAGCAGTCTTACCTGTGCATTTGTTCATCTTTGTTATTCCTGAGGTTTACATGTGGCCACTGAGGGAGAAAACAACAACATTAAAACATCAGACAGGAAGTAGACCTGGCATAAAGGTCAGTGGGGCTTCATGAGAGCAGCCTGACCTTCAGGATGGTGGCGATCAGCAACCAGTTCCACTCCAGGTTCTGCTTGTGGTTCAGAATGTGACTGTCTCTCAGGTTCAACATCAGTGCTTCTTCTGTGTCCTGAGCACAAACACAGAGAAAAAGAAATATTAGAAAATGTAAAAGTAATTTTGTTGTTTTTTCAATGTGCCCTGAGAGCTCGTTTTGATGTTAAATTACAGACTCAAATCAAATCAATAAACAAAATATCATTAGCATCAAGAAGTTTATGTTTTAATTGGAATTACCTCTAAGAGCTGCAATCCATTCAATCAATGCTTTTTACAGAGATACATTAGGAAACGATGAATGAAGCCAGCATTTACTGTAAGTGTTTTTCCAGTTACAAGGTTGTTTTCCTGTGCGTTTCCCCTTTTAAAGCCTTTGTGCTAAGCTAAGCTAAACACACACCAGTCTTTGTATTGAACGCACAAAGACATTTTTTTTCTTTTTTAACAAAACAAAAAAAAGGACTGAGACAGGACAAAAAAAAAACAACAACAACAAGATCTAAAGGCTCTGAGTCTAATGGCACATTTCCACTGCAACGGGGTAGCCCCGTTTAAGCGTCCCTAAGCGTCCTCGCTCAGGCCTCGGGCTGCCTCGCTGGCCGTCCGAGGCCGTGGCGCATTTCCATTACAGTTTAGGACCTGGGGTAGCAACGCCGTGTAGGCGGGGCGATCGGCTTCACATTTCGAGTCGTTCCGTCGAGCTCCCGCTGGATTTTATCATCCCCAATGAGATGTAGGAACGTCGTCACCTCCTCGGTCGACCACGGTGTGCTTTTCTTTGACGTTGCCATTTTTGTAGCTCCTCCGTTTACAAAAATGCTGTGTATAAAAATGCTGCAAGCTTGCTTCTAGATATATATGCGACGCTAGGGATGAACTCGCGCGCGATCTTGTGACGATTCTCTCTGACCAATCAGCAGTCGAGAGTGTTGACGTCACTAGTTCAGCCCTGGCCCTGGTCTGATAGAACCACGATTTTATGGGGCCGGAAAAAGAGGGAAAAAGTACCCGCTAGCCGGTGCTACGCTATATGGAAAGGCCACCAAAAACTGGCCTGGCCGCTTGAGGACGATTAAGGACGCTTAAACAGGGCTACCCGCTGCAGTGGAAATGCGCCATAAGTCCGTTACAAAGAAGAAAGTTTGATATTAATTGAGTGGGGTATAATGGAAATGAGCATATTTTCCAAGTAGATGTAGTTCTTAAATAAATATGTTGCTGAGGCACAGTAGGTAGAAAGCATGTTGATATTTACCTTTATAGCGTAGATGTCTCTGTGGACACGTGAGTGCGTCTCTCTGCGGTTATGAGAAGACACAGACTTGCGGATGATGTGATCCAGGTAAAGACTGTGTGGTTTCAGACCTTTCTTCTTCTTTTCATGGAAACGCTTGAGATTGTTGACTGCTGCACTTGCCCGACTACAGCATAACAAGAAACATATATCTCTTTTAAATGTGGTTTACAATATTTCACATACATTAATAATAGAACACGTTCATAGTTCCCTTATGTACTTAAAGTAACATAATGTGAGTTACTCTACGAGAGAGTTTAGCTTTTTTTTTTTTTTTAAAGGAAATGCCTGACATGCCTATCAAAGTATACTCACAGTCGTTTTTCCTGTGCAATGTCAAAGGAGGCTGCCATGTTGATGAGGGTGGGGAGGCAGTGCAGGTGGTGACTGTGGGAATGGGGAAGGATGGTGTTTGCCTAAATACAGAGGGGCAGGAAAAAAGAGAGTATGCATTAGGTTTCATGATCACAACATTTGTAGGCCACTTTCTAAAATAAAAAAATCTGACTAAAGCAATGTTTATTTAGCACTGACAGAGCATTTCAGGGAGTCAAACTATATTTTCAGAGATTGTATTTCGTCATTTTAATATTACCATGTGTAGAAGTTCTCCCAAGAGGATGGTGGCTCTCACAGCAAGCTGGTCATCGCTGCTGGTCACAACTTCCACAAGTCCCTACAGTGACAGGAGAGAGCATCATTGTATCAAAAATAGCATAAATCTGTCTTCGGTGCAAAATAATGAAAAACACAGTATCAGCTCACCTCTAACAGCCCACTGGAGATGAAGGCAGAAAGAACAAATGCCAGGTAGTTGTCCATCAGATCAGGTCTAATGATGAAAAACAGAAAACGATTATTCATGCTCATGTCATGCATACACTGAACTGACAGCCTTTTGGGTCAAATTTGGTTCAACATATTCCATCTCTGTTCTCTCATATCATCTCTCACCTAGAGCGGGCCCGATGGGGTAGTATGACTTTGGCCTCAGCAGCTAGAAACCCATCGGACAGTCTCCAGGTGTCCTGAAACCGGGCGGGGTCTGAGGAAGAGCAGAACAGAGATTAGTTTACACTCATTGTGTGACTCAAATATTGTCTTGGGTTGAAAGAGCACCAAACCATTTAAGTAGGAGACTTTGGAAAGAGTTGAGATGGATGCTTTACATGAAAGACAATTACTTCATAAAAAAGTAGTGAGTAACAAAACCAAAGTCTACCTTTATTTATATTAACCTTTCTGTTACTTTCACTTTCAGTAGAAGCCATTGACTGAGACCTGTGTTGTGAGGTGTTGTAATGTGACTGCAAATTGTCATCATGACATTTTTCCCAATCTTATTAAAGTGTCAGTAATCTAATTTATTTTTACTGTAATTGTAATCTAATAGTCACTTTTTTGTAACCTAGCTACATAAAGCCATTTCAGGTATTTCTTTCCTCCCCAAGACTGACTTCGGAGTTTGCTTTATGTCCATACCACAAAGCAAAAATGGCGATGACATGATCATTTCTGTATGTAGAACATCTCCCTAATCGCAAGGTACCAAGAAACTGGGAGAAGGTATCAATATGTGCTCTGAAGATATAAAGATGTTTCTCTCACCAACACTAAGAAGAGCTTCCATGAAGTCTTGAGTTATAATGGGCACAGGGAGCCTGAATATCTCATATAACACCTCCAACAAGCCTTTCTGCAGGGGAAATCACATTACAGCAGACACACATTTGATACAGTACAAACTACATTTGTAGGCACTCAAAAAAAACACCACTATTATCTCAGTGTTGTGGATTGACAGTACAATACTCCAGTTACTCTCCCTATTTACTCTCTGGTAACAGGGTGGTGCTATCTGATTTGATCCGTCAGTGCCAGAGCGGCCATCTCACTCTCTGCTCTGATACTCATGTACAAAACTATTTATGAACCAGTTACAATACTGTCTTTATTATCTTCTGTCATTGTTATTACTAGGGGGGGGGGGGGGGGGTAGGATAGAATTGCAGACCCACTCATTTGCAGATCAGCGCACTAAACCCAGAGCAACAGCAAGAAGAGTAGGTCACTAGCATTATTCTGGGAATAATATCTAGTGCCTTTTCCTCCTACAATAGCCCTTTGTGCTGTCAAATGAACACTGGTGTGACTAACATATTAACAGTAAAGTTTGCTATCAATTATATATTCACTGCTAATTTAAATAACGAAGTTGATCATTTGTTTTGCATCCACAAACTTCCTTTTTCTGAATGCAACTATTTCAATACTCACCCTAACTTCCATATTTGGTATGCAAAGTAAGCCAATTAGAGATTGGATCCCAGAATTCCCAGCCTTGCATAGGTTGATAATTCCTGAATAAAGAAAGAGACAGTTAATCAAAAGTAATATAAATCAAATGAGTCTATTTATTTTTACACTTAAATAACTTTATTTATAACCACATCCAAGTCCTTACCAGACCAGGAGCGAAAGGCTGCCACGATAGCCATCCTACTCGACAAGAAACGGGCCTCTCTGTCCTCCCTGAGAGCATGAAAGAAACACAAATGAAAACCAGGACACCATGTTCCATACAAACAGCATCATAATGATCTGTGTACCGCGCCTCACACAGAGCACACAAAGCATATCAGAGAGGAGAAACTACAACACAAAAGCAGAACAAAATGCTAAACAGAAGTCACAAGTCAATAAAGAGATTTATTTTTATATAAAAACACATTATTCAGAGTGACTTAAAGCATTAGTGTGACTGCTTCAAAGCCTCTATCAAGTCATGCTGGAGTCGAGCAGCCCTGATAACATGAGCCATATCGCAAAAACAAAATACAAACTCTCAAATGCATGGTGTTCAATACCAATATGGGAGCATAGCGAATGGTAAACAGAGGGAAATGTCAGAACACTATTTATTTTGTTCCTACTGCAACAATGACACCCTTCATACCCCCCCCCCCACACACCCACACACTCACTTGAGTTGCCCTTCAGCCGTGTCTGCGTTGTGACGGTAGTGAAAATCTGTAAAAGGTGCGAGGATTTGCTGGAGGACCAAACAAACACAAGAGGGATGAGAACAAAATACAACCGAATTCAGATCTCATTGAAAATGAAGTGTCAATTAAACACACAACGAGCAATAGGAGGAGCTCAATTAAAAGACAACACATTTCAAAACCTAGGTATAGCTACATTTTAATGTGGAAATGTTCCATAATCACACTGTACATTTTACATTTATATATTCAGTTTAATATTCCCTCTGTCACATACTTATGTATATATAATACCTTATATATACATACTTATGTATATATAATACCTTATATATATATTTCTTATATATTATATCTTGTTATTGTTCATTTGTAAATTCAACATGTATATTTTCTACTTTCTTGTCTTTTCATTGTTATTGTACAATGCCATGTCTTTTTATGCTGCTGCAACACAAAATGCCACCAAATTGGGATCAATAAAGTACTATCTTATCTTATCATATTATACCTTTAAATATTCCCACGAAACATCTTTCAGTAATAATAAACCTGCTTCAGATCTCATATGACATCATGTGGATGTTTTGACCGTGTGCTGAGATGTTTTTGTCCCAAGTGTCTGTTTACGGACAATGAGGCTTTAGAGATCTGCTGTAACTGATTACTGTAAGCTCCATGGGAAAGAGACGGGCAACCTGCGGCTGCTAATCCTGACTGAATGACTCCCACCACACTGGCTCATTTCTAAAAGGCAGCCTCTCCTGAATTCATATCTGTGTCAGTGTGCGTGCGTGTGCGTGTGCGTGTGCGTGTGCGTGTACCTCCAGTTCGACATCGACGCGCACATACTGCCGGGTGCGTGGGTGGTTGAGTAGATGGAGGATGGTGGTGATGAGTGCTTCGTTGATGCGGCTCAGCTGACAGTCGATCACACTCTTCAGGATGGTGCTGAGGCCGCCACGTTTAGCCACCACCTCCGGGTTCTTCAGAGCTAAGTGTTCAGCAGCAAAGAAATATTAGAGCCGTTTCACATTGCTGTAGCGAATGTTTTTACCTTTGAAGCTTCGATTGAGCTTTTCGAATGAAGGTTCAAATTAAAGACATTATTTTTAAATCCACAATTTGATCTAATGTAAGACTAAATGACTTATATTTTATTTAATACTCTTTCTCTAATAAATCTAGTTTTGAAAGGTTTACCACAACACCAACAAATATTGAATTATAAAAACATGTTGTGAACTTTGGAAAGGATTACATATTTCTTTGCAAATAAAAAGTTACTTTTGGACACTTGAGTTATTGGAAATGTCAACATGACATTGGTTGAAAATCCAATCCTACGCCACCCCCACAGGAATATAATGCTTCCTATAGTATAATGCTAATTATATTACTGTGGACTAATCTGCAACTGTGAAGAAATACCAGGTTGAATGAAAAGACATTTCAAAACAATAAAGACGCACAGCATTGGGATCTTGATATAGCATTTAAATGTCAATTTACTAGTTTTGTTCACTATTTTCGCAATCCCTCAAGAGCTCCTCACAAAGCCGCTGGTTTTGTCAAATTAATGATTCTGAACATCTGCATTGTGAATCTCCATCTCTAAAAGCCATGTACTCACCTAGCTCACATACGATGGCGATGGCGGCGCGGACCATGCGGTCTCGTTCCTGAAGTCCATCAGTGCCCACGGCAATTAAAGAGTTTGCAACAGAGGAGGGGAACAGCATTGCATTGACAGTGATAATCTGGAGTGGGATAGAGAGAAGGAAAACGTCGGTCTTCAAACATTCCCAGACAAACACAGGCAGAAAAATAACTAACATTTCTTTCCAGGTCTCTCAAAAGAAAATACATATTTGAAAATGAAAAAAGATGACCTAATTGTAATGTAATTACGACCAAAGAGCATATAATTGGTGTTTTTGGTCTTAATTGGCTAGGATTTCTTTAGACGATTATTCATTTTTTTATGGATTTCTTCAAGCTGAACGACTTGAGCCCATCTCTGATAAACATAAGGTATAAAGAGGTTCTTTTTCATAATTGTATTTGGAGGAACGCTGTTTTAAAATTGGTAAGGCGAAAGAAAGATATGAGTATTGATGAATTAAATAAAATACTAAGAATGTTCTTTCTTTAGTTGAAAACAGCCCTAAATCTGAGGGTCACATTTCTCTGAATTTACATTCCAAGAAGTGATAACAGAAATTATTAGGAGGCTCTATTTCAGGGGTGCCCAACCTTTTTTGAACAGAGAGCTACTTTTAAAGTTGCCAGTCTGCCGAGATCTACCAGTCCAAATAGAGAGGCGTAGCCATTACTGACAGCCTACTACCAGGTAAATACACACTTCTACTTGTATAAAACTGACCTTTGTACGATTAATACTTCATAAAATACTGCAGATCCTTTATCTTACCTCTTTCTAATCTACACACATACAAGTATTTAACTGAAGTTACACAACAGTGTTGTTGACACAGAGTTGGAGTTTATTCACACGTCACATACTACAGTGGGTAATGTTTTCAAGAAACATTGAACAGTGCTGCCACATATGACACTTTTTATTTTTTGCATTTTAGTACAGTATAAAAATAAATGCCTTTTAATAGGATGCAAGCAACACTAGTTTCTTAACCTGAATTGATAATAGACTATAATCAATTTAAGTTTGCATTCTTATACCATTTTGTACAATAATTATAATGACTAAGTTCAAACAAACTAAAACTTACAGCTGATTAATAACGGTATCTAACTTGAGTTTTTATTATATCAAAAACCTGTTGAAATGCTACTGTTATTTTTACTGTCCCCAAAAGCACGTCGGCAGCCTCCAGGAATGTTTCTTTCACAACTTCGCCGTCTTTGAAAGACTTCATGTGTTTCGCAAGAACGTGACTGACACGATAAGATGCTCTGGTAGCAGCCTTGCTCTTGTTGTTGGGCCTGGTGGAAATGGACTGCTGCGCATTAGCTGTCCTTTCAGGTCGGGTAGCGTAGGGCAGAATTAGGAGGGAATTCCGTCTCGTAGCGTTTGTGCACTGTTTTGAAATGCCGCTCTTAAATTACCCTTCGCCACGCTCGCATTGCAGATGAGACAGATGGACTTTGAATTGGAATAGATAACAAAATAATCATCCTCTCACTCGGAGTGAAAATTATATATTTTGGGCTTTTTTGCTTCTGCCATAATTGTGGTCTTGTGTGTGTGCGGGCATGGGGGTCACGTCAATCACAAAGCTTTGATGCGTTCAAGTGCATTATTCTGGCACAGAAAGATTATATTATAGGACATTAAGTTACGATAAAACAGAATATTGTTGTTCTATTTTTAGACACATCTCGCGATCGACTGGGAATCTCCCCGTGATCGACCGGTCGATCGCCATCGACTGGTTGGTTGGGCACCCCTGCTCTATTTAATTGAAAGACCACAATGTATGTATGTGTGCGTGTGTGTGTGAGACGGCCATCGCCTTCCCGGTCCTGTTAATTCTGTTATATGTTATTATATATGTTGATCAGACGCCTCACGCATATTTGCTCTTGTGTCGTGGACACTTTAGACGTGAGCTATTAGACTGTGTTCGACTGGTGTGGTCCGTGTTTAGTGTAATGTGTTGGTGTGATTATATGTGTGCTTAGTGTCGTGTTGATACATGTGTTTAGAGTAGCGTGTTTAGCTTCCCTTTATTAGCTGTGTTTTCCTGCAGCCTCCTTTTGTTAGTGTTGATTGGTAGTGATTTCAGGTGTGTAACTAGGCTCACTTATAGAGTCCTTTTTCCGTCATTAGCAATACATTTGCGCCCTTTTGGTTTCTTTGCTAGGCTTAGGTTATTTTTGCTCTCAATTTGTTGTACACCTTTTTTGTTATTTATTAACCCCAATTATAATTATTTACCAAAACCATCTGGTGTGTGTTGCCTTCCTCATCCCTAGTGGGTTCGTAACAGTGTGTGTGTGTGTGTGTGTGTGTGTGTGTGTGTGTGTGTGTGTTTGTGTGTGTATGTATGTATGTATGTGTGAAAAGAGTTTACAGTAAACTATAAAAAGAGCTATAAATAGCCCGGCCTGCAGTCATGCAAACCGTCCACACAGTGACTCTGCTGCTGACCCAATGATCTTTCTGCTCGCACTAAGGCTGAGCAGTGAGGGCAGAGGGTGCATTCCTCTAGCAATTTAAGGAGGAAGTATGGAAATAAATAAATAAATAAAATACAGAGGATCTTACCTTTCGGACTAGCCTCAGAGCCTGAGTCCTCTCACCCTCATTGCTCTGCTGGATGTCAATGCATCTAAACAAGCACACAAGCATTATTAGACATGGCCTTTTCTTAAAACCACAACCAGCAACAAATGTGTCGGCAGGAAAGAGACAAGTGGGACTGAAGCATAACATTTCAAAGAAACTGGCCAACTTTGAGAGGTGACTTCTCATAAACACTAATATTTTTGGACCCACAAAAAGAGAAGTCATTCAGATATCAGTTTATTTTTAACCCACCTTGCTATCAAATAGTCCACCTGTAGTCTGAGGACCTTCTGCAGCACCGTGGTGTCTCTGATGAGGTAGCGGAGCGCCCGCAAACCTGCAGCACGCACTTCCTTAGCCTCATTCAGTAGAGCTAGTCGCAGACTGGAGGTAAACAAATTGGACATGAAATACGATTCACTGGGACTTGAAATACTTTTGTTATTTCCTGCATTTTTTCACAAACATGATGATTTCTAATTCCTGCTTATCAGCCACAGGACCTGACAAACAAACTGTTTCACTCTGTCGCCTTAATAACAAGACAATGATTTGGAAAGAGTAGATGTTAAATGAAGTACGTACTACATGGTGTACATTAGTAACTAACAAGACTTACCAAACGATGATTTCTTCGTATGTAAACCCAAAGTTTTCTTCACGGTGGTTGATACTGCATAGCAGCTATAACACAGAGAAAGAAGGGTACATATAATACATTGATTTATAGAATGAAGGAGGTGACAAGACTTTGGTCAGTTTGCAGCAGGAGCCATGCAGGTGTGTTTGTTGTATTTTTCCACTTCTCTGTTACATGTTGACTGGTTTGGAGTAGATTAATCGTGACTGCATAATGTTGTGTTTTCACTGATGGTGTGTGGAAGTTATAATCACCAGCGCGTTGGGGCAACACATGCACAGGACCAGTGTCACGTCCACCACTTGTTGTTTACTAATGCATGGTGATATGTGGTGGACTTGTGAAAACGAAGGTTTTAACAGAAAGTAAGACAATTATTTTTGTTCTATCCATAGGCTGACAATTTGTTCCCGTTACCCATTTTTAGCACAAAGTTACACTTTTACATTACACTGCATGCTTTTCATCTGACGTTTTTATCCAAAGCGAGGCATTTTGGGTTAGGTAACTTGCACAAGGACACTAGGACAGGTTGACCGCAGGGGCAGGGACCAAACTACTGACCCTCTGATTGGCAGTTCAGCACAAAAGTTCCCTGAGCCACATCCCCCTGACACTTTTAGCCGTCCCCTCACCATAGGTCCCTTTATTATTACCACAGGCTCACACACAACTGGTGTTGAGAAGATTCAAATTCTATGTACACAAAAGCAGTTCATTATAAAAACAATAAGCCTTCAGCTCCAGTCTGTGTCAACTCATTATACTCACAGAGCAATAAGCTCCTTGGGCAAAGGGTGCTGCTATTTTAGAACTGTCACCTTTTCTCATAGACACCCTGAAGCGCTTCAAACCAGTCAGTGCTACTCCATCAGAGAAGTTCAGACTAACCTTGCCTGTCCCGATGCTGCAGCAGTGAATGCCTGTCATGATGTTTACTAGGGCTGTGCATCTTCACTTGTCTCACGATTCGATTACGATTATCCTGTCAACGATTCGATTCAATTCGATATCCCGATGCATCACGATTCATACCAATGCGTTGCATCCTCAATTTTCTATATTACTGCACATGGCTTATTTTTCATCAATGCATACATGCAGTAAATACATATGAACTCTCTTTTTATTATTCAGAAAGTGCTTCAGAAATCAATAACATAAATGTCTTGACATTAATTTATAAACCAAAATAAATGAATTGTATAGGTCTAGCCTCCGTGTGTGAAGTTGTTCCATCCTCAAAAACAAAAAACTAATGCTTCTGCAGTCTAGCTGCAGCTTCTAGCAACAGTCTTCTGTTAAAAAAAGGACACTGAATGTCCTGAATGTGGCATCACACACAGGACTTGAGTCTGAACACAGCAGACAACAGGAGTATTTACAATAGCATATACAAACAAAAATACTGCATGTGGGTGCACACTTACATTCTCTGTCTTACTGTTACATAAATCCCATGAATGTATGAGACTAAGTTAGCTTCATTATATCTCAGTGATTAAGTGAATAATAAAGTTTCTATCGGGTCACTATCAGCCTGTCACTCATTATTTTCAGGGAGGGGGCGGGGTTTGGAGGAACGGAGAGGAGACGGTGATCGCGGAAGCTTTTTTCCTCCTGCCTTCACAAACTTTACACACGTATATATCGTCTGAAAATTGCTAGAGGACATTCATACTCTGCAATCCAAGACTTAATTAAAACCACCAAAAACCTGACATGATTGTAACGCGATTATTTTTGGAAAACATAAATCCCTGTGTCTCTGAGCCGCAGCGACACGGAGTGATTCAGAGCGGGTCCTTCTGCTGTTGGTTCTGGACTGGTGGTGTTCTGTTGGTGGATAAAGCAGACTGCTCCGTGTTTGGTGTTGCTGTGCCGCTGTCACGTCTGTTCCCTGATCTCTGCGTCACCGACCGATTTGATAATAAAGTGACAGAAAAAAAAACGTTATAGTAAAGCCGCGGCCGGAAAATCAGGAAGCAACGTTACTACGCTATAATCGATTATCTTCCGTCACTGCATCGATACCGAATCGTCCACGTCCGCAATCTCCGCATCGCAATGCATCGTAGAAACGATTATTTTCAACACCCCTAATGTTTACGTTATTTTCTTATCATATGATATATTGACACGACCTCGATATATTTACATCACGATTGTTCGTAGATGACCTTGGCATCGCTCAGACATTGCTCATTCTTGTTAACAGAGCCCCAAGAGTCAATTTGTTTATTTTGAGGTTTCTAGAATATTCTTCCGCATTGAAAAGATGTCATTGCATTATTGTGCTGTAATATTATCATTACTTTAGTCGTCTGGTAGTTTTTAAAATTACATTTACGGGAAGTGTTCATGGGACAGTACAACGTCCAAAGTTTTGAGACAGACAAACAGGTAATTTTGGTTTGACTCTTTCCTTAAAGCTCGACATAAATCTCCTCCTTCCTTCACCATAAACCACAAAAACAAAACTGGAAGAGAGCTGGAGCATGATGGGACGGGTGACGATGAGAGGCATGGTGAGTAGGGGGTTGTTTTTAAACCAGCTGTGATGTCAGAGCTCAAGCAGGCAGGAGGAGGAGACCGGGAGAGGGGCATGTGACACTCTCTAGGGGTTTAGGTCACCCTCACTGTCCTGAAACCCTTATAAGGAATCAGAGGCACGGTGCACTCACATACGTATACACACAGACACACTCAATATTACGCTCCTGTCAGTTGTAAACCAGAGAGTTAGGCCAACACTCAGTCTGCTACACTGCCAGCTGCAGTTTCCGAAAGGCCGCACCAACGATTGGTTACAACAGGGGTGCCCACACTTTTTTGGCTGGTGAGCTACTTTTGAAATGACCAGCTCACCGAGGTCTACCAACCAAAAATAAAATCCCAAATTGCAAGGGTTGCTGAATAACATGTTTTATTTATACATGGGATAATAGGGCTGCAACAAACGACTAATTTGATAATCGATTAATCTATCGATTAATGAAACGACTAATCGACTATTCGGACTATTACTGTATGCCTTGCACAATTTCTCAAACGCTCTTATTTAGCCATCAACTTTTAGATGTAGCTTGAGGTTGTTTTAGGCATGTGGAAACTAACAATGAAGACAATAAAGATGAATACTTGATTCAAAAATACATATATCATTAAATTAACTAAACACATTTTGAACAAAATTAACATTGCTTTTTATTTAAATTAAATAAATAATATTTCACATCAAAAGAAACAACAATGTTTTAACAAATCGTATTAAATAATCTGATGACAGAACTGTAAACAGAATAGCTGAAACTTTAACAAAATAAATAACTCAGTTACCTATAATCATTAACCCATGTTTGTATAATGGAGTTAACTCCGTGTGTTGCTGCTAGCATACATAACACCTGACGTGGAAACGTTACTCGTGGATGGAGCTACAGAGCTGCTAGAAAGACAGTCGAACCCGGTGCATTCCTCCGTCTGGATGTGGTGCACTTTTGCTAAATGTTTAGACAAATTGCTCGTGTTACCGCCCTCACATGCTGAACTCTCTTGGCAAGGAGCATTGTCCGCCTCAAGACGGGTAACATTTAACCACACCTTGGAGCGCTTCTCTCCGCCATCCCCGCCGTGTGTTGCTGCTTGTAGCAGCTGCGTGTGTAAACTGCCCCGCCCCCCTCGCACACAAACGGGAGAGAGAGATCTTGTCTCGATTGGAAAGATCAAAAATACACCGACCATAGACGCATTTGTTTGTCATTTTGCATGTTAGAAACGAGTTGGCGACACTAAGACTGCAAGATAATATTTGTGTAGCAATAATACATGACCTTTCTCTTTCTCAACTCGCTACTCGGAGGGAAGTCGCTGTCATATGCCTTGTGAACACTCCGATAATGCCTCTCCACGTTACCTTTCTTTGGCAGAGCGACGCTTGCTTTACAAATAAGGCAAATAACCTTTGAATGTGACATCACAAACAAATATTCTTCCTCCCATTCTGGGTGGAAGTGGTATGTCTTTAGCTTCTTGCTCGGTCCCGCACTCATTTTGTTGTTTATCTCTTGTTTGTCTCTTTAACTTAATTTGAGTTTTCCCAGCACTTGACTGATTTTGTATCGCTTTGCATTCTGGGTTAACAGACTGGAAAGCGATAGGTCGCTTTTTCTGTCAATCAAGTAAACTCCTGAATTAAGTGGCAGGGAGGCCAAGGGAGGAGGGATCAAAACCTGTTTTGTCTATTTTAACGGAGCTGGATTTTTTATTATTATGAATGACTCGTGATCTACCAGCATTGCCCCCGCGGTCCGACGTACTGGGCACCTCTGGGTTACAATGTCAGACATGCTTAAAGGCGACGCGTGCATCGATAAAATCAACAAACGTCTGGGCAGGAATCAGTGACCCGGGTTGTGTAAATGGCTGCGACATTTCTCATTGAGGTGATGGTGAGCTATCGTAATGTCAGCGAGATTTCCCTTTGAGTTTTGCAAGACATTTACTTGTTTTCTTCACCCCTGTTATTTCTGTTTAAAGTAACAAGGCTCAAAACTATGCAAGCTTGTGTCAGGAGAAAGGCAGAATAAATCCTGGAAAGGTCACCAGTCTATCACAGCGTAGTACGGCTGTGTACGCACAAAAACACTTGCATCTAAAACCACGTTTAAGAAATATCTGTGATTTCTATGATGATGATCAATTATTTTATGTTACCTGCGCACACAGATCACTTTCTTTACTTGACACATTTGCAGAACAGTATGTGCCAGTACATTGCAGTGCAACACAGAGACAAGACTGACCCTTTATCACTCTTGAATAAAGCGCTGACATCTAAAAAGAGGAATACATTGAAGTTGGGGCAAAACATACATGTTGGAAAACAAGTTTCTGAGATTCATAAGAACTATAACTAAGATTAGGGATCTTAGGTTTCTAAAGTCAGTGAGTTGCTCTTCATACACATTGGGTCTGTGTGCTTTCCCATCCCTTAAGCTCCAGTTACATTCACTGTCAGCGTCACAATGACAGGCACAGCTAGGCCTGCTGGCAGCAACACCCAAGAGGAGAGGATCAAGGAGAGGTTAGTGATGACACTACAGAGGGGAGCACAGCTAGTCAATCGTATTAGATATTTGAACAGCGAGTCAACCTTATTAGAAAGCTGCATGTTTGTATTCACAGCTTTAACCTAGTCTTGGGAGTAGGTTTAGGGAGATACAACAAATGTACTATTCATAGTGTTGTGTTGTCAGCACAGCCTAGATAAACAAATAAAACACTGGGGTAGAGGGAGCAAAACTTGACAGCATTACCTTTATGAAGTTGTTCAGGTGGCCCAGTTTGCGCATGTTACTGACTCCGTGTGGTTTGGCCACATTTTGAAGGATTTCACGGAAGTTTTCTGATGGTTCTGTCGAAAAAAGATAAAGAAATACAATGTAACCAAGGCAAATATTAAGCCATATTGCCATAATATCAGTCAATGAACCATAATTGATGTTGATGTTGCAGGAAGGAAGTTGGTTTAGCTGGTCGAACTAATTTAGTGTTTACAGTCAACAAAAGGTCTAGACGCACAAAGCAGGACTTGTACCGGGAAGTTTCGGTTTTCAGTTCCTTCCAATGATTATCAGCTTCTGTAATGCTAGATGTTCTTGACAAAAGACAAAACACACAATTCCTTTTGCAGGAATCAGTCCCTTAGCAGTAGCTTAGTTTGCATAGAAACCAGTTCATTATAACATTGATAAATATATATGCTGCATAAAACTATGAATAAGCCAGCTTAATGAATTGCATATCATAGTTTCTCCTCAACCACAAAATTCACCAGCAGGTGAGCTTGATTTAGTTTGCATGTATAAGCTTCATACAACTGAAATCATTGTTATCTTAAAAGGGTACTAAACCAACTTCTCTCCACTTATATTTTAAGAAATCAAACATGATTGATAAGTATGTTCAGCCAATTATATAACCAGAGGTCTTTTGCAAACGGATCTTGCCTATTTACTGTGTAAGAATCATGGTAATAGTGTCAAGACAGTTTACATGGACTTGCTATTCATGATCGTGCACCCTTGGGCATTGACATGGTTCAATCTTCAGCTTTAAGAGTGTTCAAATCCCTTGTGATACACCACCATATGCGAACAGAGAATCTGACCTGAAATAAAAATGAGGATAAACTCTCATTTATTTTTGATGGAACAGCTCACAGATGAACCCATCCTTATGTTGTGGGCTTGTGTCATGTCGATGGGCCTAGGATACGGCTGGATATTTATGCTGCATTCATTTGAGGTTTTATTCTGTTATGCAATCAAATGAAATCAGCCGGTCCCTAATTCCCAAACATGGGGACAGAGAGACGCTGCTCCATGTCAAATCTGTCTGAGCAGTGCATCTGTGTATCAGTGAGCCACTGGAAAAACACCCTGCGCTGACTAAATGCTACTCAGCTAACAGCCTTGAAACTCTTTTCCTCATACAGCCAGTGATGACCAATGCATGACTACAGCACTTATGTCTGGTTGGCTAAATTACAGGCTATCTTTGCCCACTCACACCAATCAAAACAACAGGGCATCGTCATTGCTGTTTAGCTGTGGCAGCTAGCTAACGCTAACTCAGCTAGTTAGTTAGCTCGCTGCCCGCCTCTTATTATGATATAGCCAGCAATGTTATTAGACGAAACAGAAAGGAAATACTAACGACTTTACAGCAGCTTTGCCAGGACAAGTGTCTGTACTTTCTGGGGTGTCACTTTGTAGAGCTGGTGCTTGCAGAACAGCTCCACTTCCATTTTGAACAATAATCGCTTTGAGGGTGATGTGATGAAGCTTACCTCTGGTCAGATCCAGCGGTACATTTTCCTCTCCGCTGTCATTCCGACCTGTCAAAAACACACACCAAGGACACGATGAGGGGACACACCGGGGTCATCAGCTGCCTGGGGAAATCTAGTTTCGCAATATGCCACTATAACAGACATCACTGCATCGAGTTTTTCAGGCTTACCTCGCATCCGAAGACTCCGGATAGGACGGCCGCGGAAGCTGGCCGCCATGTTTCCAGGAACATACACAACACCGGAAACTTCGTGGCTTCTCGCGAGAGAAGAGAATCGACAACAGGGGTTGTCGCCGCGACATCGCTGCAGCAGAACTCCCACAGACCTGAGATCAGATCATAGGCGTAATTTTTGCTGGGGACGCTGGGGACATGTCCCCACCACTTTTTGAAATGGCCAATGTTGTCCCCACCACTTATAGTATAACTTATACATGTTCTGAAACATAGCGTGCACAAATACATGTAATAAACAAGATCACTGGTTTAGTGTCATTAATGTGTGCAATTTGGAAATGTTAGTAAACTTTACTATAAGGTGTGTATTAATGGGTTTAACTAGAAGATGATATATGATGACATTTCATTTAATCTGGCATAATATGATTAGTCAACATCTGGATGAATTTGTATTTTTCTTATAATTACAGGGAGCGGGAATGAGCAGCATGAATCTGTTAAAGTCCTTGCAATTTCATTTAAGAATGGAAAGGAAATAAAAGGAAAAATCTACAATGTCCAAAGCACAAACCATCTCCTGGAAGTAACAGGTGAATTTGGATTTGTCCTTGATAGGATTTAAAAATACAACACAGACTTCCAAGAGTTTATAGATGTTGATAGAAGTGAGAACATAAGTGACTTTGACAGATTCCAAGTGCACTTTTCTGAAGCACCGGATCTTCAGCCTGTCCTATGAGAAGTCTGTCAAACTCAGGTATACCTTTACCATGCTTGTTAAATTGTGTTTCAAAAGATCACACAGGCAATAACTTTACTTTGTGCTGTGCTTGCTCTTATTGTTTTGTTCAGCCTACACAATAACCAGTTCTTCTGAATGGCCTAACAGTAACTGATCTACTTAAGAAGAAAATTCCAGAAGTATTTGACAAACTGCAAACTAATGGTATTCTTACGGAGAAGACCAGGCTCAAACTTGTCAAAGTTTGCATCTCTGACTTGGTGGAGAGGTATGGGTTGTAAGTATATGAATGTGAAATGTGTTTATATATAATTTTTGCATTTAAGTGATATATTGGTTGTAAAAATATGGCATATTTGTTTTTTTATTTGCTTGATACAAACAACATTCTTTATAAACAATTGCTTTATCATCACGCATTTGTAATATTTGTATGCTAGAACTTTTTGTATTCTTTTTGAAAAATGAAAAATAAATAGCTCAAAAGGTGGTGGAATCTCATCACTATATTCCCTCAGCTGAAAGTCCAAGTCGGTGGCTATGGAGAAGGCTTTGTGAGTATAACGGTTTTTTCTAAAATATCGAAAAACATTGAAAATTCTGATTTAATGGTTTTTAGTGTGAAAACAGCAGTTTTGTCTCAATGACATTGTGAAAGTACAGACTAGGGCTAACATCTACTTTGTCTAATAAGAATGATGAGTGTTCATTCAAATAACTTGATGAGTAGACTAATATATACTGTAATTGTAATGAATGTAAAGGCTGCCTATTGGTAATATTTGTATTTACATATACCTCTCCTGAGCTTACAGTGATTAACAATGATTAGTGTGTTCTAGATTTCACTTCTAAACATAAGCAGCTGTTAGTTGGTCAACAATCAAATGTATATTGCTTCGTCATATCCTCTTAAATTTTCACCACTTCGTTACGAAATCAACTTTGATTTGATATGTTATTTTTTCCCCTCTTTAATTTCAGGAGCATCTCTATGACCCAGCTTCACATTCTGGGTTTTTGGAGATGAGACTTCACAATATACGGCGTAAGCTGGAGGAAGTTCAGCGGCGTTACAGGAGACACAAGAGAAGCAGAGATGTTGGACCAAGTTCTGTGCAGGACGAAGTCACAGGACAATAGTGACATAAAAGAATGTAACAACCTGATGAAAAAGCTGAGGCCTTCTGCAGAAAACATTTCATCTATCAAAACATTCACATGGCGCAGAAGCTGGATATCCAAACATTCACCCACCATTAACCAAATCTTCCAAGAGTATCCACGATTCTTGGATATACCAACCCTGGTAGGCTTTTTTAGCATCTTTATGCATTTGTGCAGTGGTGTTCACAGCTGTGCAGTACACAAAATGACCCATTCTCATAATATTATCAAGTTTATTATCTGATCGTTTAACAAATGTTAGATTAAAATACTGGTCTTGTCATTTTAATAATGTCATTATATCTTTATCTGTATCAACTGTCTCCATCTTTCCACCACCCAGCTTGATACAGAGTTTGAGAAAATCTTTGATGGTAAGGGGGACCTGTTCATAAGGCGATGGGAGGCCAGCATCATGCCAAAGCTGAAGGCTGTAGCTGCCAAGGGGAAGGGCGATGTTACAGCTTTGATCGAAGGGATGGAAAACCAAACTGATGGTATGCAGGGCCTATACAAATGTTTTGTTGAATTTATTAAAAAAATTGAGAAAATGATTTAATATGCTAATGATTACTTTACTCTTCCCCAATCCCCCAACCCTGATTCTCATTTGCAGATGAGAATTGCTACACAATGCTGGTTGTACTAACTCATCTTCTTCCACCTGTTGCTGCAACACGCTGTAGCGTGAAGTCTGCAATTACAAAACTCATGGAATTTGTACCGGTATGTTTAGTTTAATATTAAATGATGTGAATTGTAGTCAGTAGGTCAATATAAAACAACATACACATACTTGGTTATAATTAACTAGTTTAGGAGTTGCTGTTGATGAACTGAGTGAAAACACTAATTCTAATATTTCAATATTTCTAGGAAGGGAGTTCCATTGATTCCCTCTTCGATGCACCCCAGGATCCAGGACAGACCATACAGCCACATCTTGTCTGCAGTGCATAGGACATCAAAGGGGAGGGTCACAGCAGTACGTCATTGTGACAAGATTGCCATTCCTTTGGATGAAGGTCTGGGATGTGCTGTGGACAAGCTGTTCAAGCTTTACTGGGTATGCAACCTGGCCTACCCAACCCCGCTCTGTGTTCTCATTCTTTGAGCACATCTACGACCTACCAATGTCAACAAACCGGAGAGCAAAGGTTTTGGACCTCATCTCTAAATTAAAGTCTGTTAATTAAATCAAAACAATATGTATACTTGTCCAAAATGCCCTTCACAATTCACACAGATAAAAGAACATATCCGGCATCTTCGTGAAATCCATGCATTGTCAGAAGGAATGAGATTTACTCTAACTTGCAGCCAAGATGGCTGCCCAAGGACGTACCACAGCATACATTAATTTGCAAAGCACATTTCTAGAGCACCAAATAACAAGTAACCCAGGAGATGGTGCTTCTCTTCAGACCTACCCACCAATCACTGACTCCACAAGGACCATAGACACAATTAGTCAAGAGGAAAACACAGCTGAGCTGTTTGAGAGCTTTCAACCTGTCTCTGACCGTGCAGCCTCATTTGTGGCAAAGATGTATTCTGGATCATATTTAACACAAATCGGTGTCACAAGAACTGTATCTTGTGTTAAAGAACTTGTAGAAACAACTGTAGATGACTTATAAAAGTCAGTGACATCAGTACTCAGTAATATTGGGGTACCACTTGCAGGGCTCGAAATTAACTTTTTTCCTCAGTGTCCCACAACTGTCCCGACTCCCGAATTCTACTTTGTATTGTCCCGGATATAACCAGCAGTGTCCCAAATTTAAATTTGTATCGTCGCCCCCCCAATTATGCAGAATACATATAATTTGATACTTTTTTGTCACTTAATCATCACACCATAGACTCTGGTCCACCATGTAAGTTTAAAATACTTATTCTTTTAAACATATGAATATTAGTCTGATCTGTTGCCTCTCCTAGAGTAGAAGGGAAGAGAGTTGTTTTAAGACATGTTTTTCTATATCCAGACTAATTTATCATTGTCATGTCAACATTGAAGAATTCTGATTTGTATTTTTCAATTCAATATGGTATGGCTGTATGGTCTCTGTGTTTTATGATCGGAACCCTCTATCTGGCAATACAAGTGGTATGAATGATAATAAAAAAACAGAAGTTCCATAATACAGTTTAATAAATGTATCTGTTTTCAGTTCTAATTACAAGTTATCCTCACAAGTCAGTAGTACTATAGGAATATAAATTGATCTTCTATTTTCATTCATGAATGTCAATCATCTTGCTCTCACTCAATCACTCGACACTTTCCATCTGATGAAGGCAAATGCCTTCCCAGATGTAACAAAGTAGAAAACATTACATTCAGTTATAACTGCCAAAACAAACGTTATTTACACTATTATGGCCCCTGTTAAAAATGTTTGTAATGTTATCTACTGTAAGTTCGTTGAACGAATCCGGAAGCTGACCGAGCAGACCCGAGCAGCAGTCGAGAGGAGCCGAGCGCATCCGCGAAGCACACAAAATGGCGACGTCAGAGTTCCCGTTAGCCTGCAAATCTAAATCTCTTTGGTCAAAATAATTTCCCTTTAGTGCAATACCGCTTCAGTTGCGCCACTTATGTGACAGACAAGAAGAGTATGTGACAGACAGAAGAGTCTGTGACAGACCAGAAGAGTATGTGACAGACAAGAAGAGTCAATTCTAATGTCTAACACTTAATGTGGAGAAATAGATGTCCTGTATGGGTTGATTGTGCGTTGATCTGTTGGTAATGCCTCGGGGTTCCGGTGGGCATGTAAACAAAGGCATAATGCTGCGCTATACTTTGCGGCCTCTTTCACACACACATACGGGTTTTGGGCCGAGGGCGACACCGTACTTCCGGTATCAACCATTTCACGCGAGGTGCATACAGAATATCATAGTCGATTGCCTTAATCAATATAGTCAACTCTAAAATACCACATATATGCATTGGCATGATAATATTATTGTGACAAGTGGGGTATTCACCTGGTGTTTCCAGAATATAGACGTAGATGCCAAAATCGACCGAAGGCCACTTTTGAGGGTCGTAATTCCATACATTGTACATCCAACAACCCACACAGCTCTAGTTTACGCTGGTAACGACCTAGAGCACACCCCTCAAGTCCAGAGATATAATCCGAAGACATGCAGCGATTTCTTCGGTCG